CTGCTGTACTACAGCAGTCTACACGTGTAGCACATATAGTCACCGCACTCTCCATGCGTTCACCACGCGTGGTACTTCTCCCCCCGCCCGTTATCACCCTATAGCACCGAAACTGATAGCAGCAATGGAACATGACTTTGCTCCTTGTGTCTGTCTGCGCGGTCAACAGGGGAGGGTTTGGAGTTTCCAGGGTTCCGATCGACCATGCGCTGGCGGTGACGATCTGGCGCCCGCCTATGTCCGACGACGCTGATCCGGGACCGGCTCTTTTGGGGGATAGCGGAACAGATGATATGCGAGATCTTCAACCTCACCATCGAAGCGATCTTTGATCGCTGGGGTCACCTGGTAAACCAGCTGCAACACGATGCAATTCTATCAAAGATAGATATGTTCTGTCAGGCGATTTATGAGAAAGGTGCCCCGCTCAGGCGTTGTTGGGGCTTTATCGACGGCACTATTCGCGCGATCTCGCGACCTAAGCGTCATCAGAGATTGTGGTACAATGGTTGGAAGCGAAAGCACGCGTTGAAGTATCAAGCGATCGACACCCCCGATGGGATAATTCGCATGCTTTGGGGTCCCATACTCGGGCGTCGCCACGATGTCGCCATGGTAGGGGAAAGTGGTCTGCTGCAAGATCTGCAGCAGTGGTTCAACGACGCAGCAGGCACCCCTTACTACGTATTCGGCGACCCTGCGTACAGCCTTTCGCCCTGGTTGCTGGCGCCGTACAAGGGGGTGTTGAACTCCCTCGAACAGGCCTTCAACACCGCAATGAGCTCCGTCAGAGTCTCGGTTAAATGGGGGTTCGGAAAAATCGTGGCCCTCTGGCCGTACGTTGACTATGCCAAGAAGCAGCAGGTGGCGCTCAGCGCTTGCGGGCTTGGTAAACAGTATGCGGTCGCCGGCATTCTGACGAATTGTCATTCGTCCTTCTACCGCAACAACACTTCTTTCTACTTCGGTGTAAAACCCCCGTCGCTTCGCAGCTACCTGAACGGCGAAGGGTAGAGTGTGGGTTGATAGGCTGTAAGTGTCAGTGGCATGGGGTGATGGTCGGGGGCGCTGGCAGAAGGTGCCGCTGAGGCCCTAGTAGTAACGAATGGCATGCTCGCTGATATGTTTGCAGAGAAGATGAAAGCTGAAGCGGAGGTCATACTTGAGAAGGGTGATCATGTCCTCAAGAGGGCTGCGTTCGTCCACAGGCTCGGTTAGCTGTACCACGTGAATAACGGGAGTATTGAACTTCATGCTATTGTGCTCCATCACCCCACGCGGTGCGCTGAAACGCACTGCCCGTCTACAGCAGCTCAACCACGTCATCACGCCTGAAGACGTAGTCCTGAATACTTTCGCTTGGCCACACTCGAGATGCACGTGACGATAAACCTATCGTGAACCCTGTGTTTGAACACTGCATGTCAAGAAACATGACACCCGACTGGCTACCAGTGATGCACCACAACCCGAATCCCGTCTAGCAACAACAAGCAAGGGACAGACTCAAACCGAGGCAGCCACGAACGAAAATTTGCATGCCCTACGTCCACCACGAGGCGGCGGGTTGTTCTTGCGGCCCTCAATTGGCAGGGCCGGAGTAGCGGTAGACATACGTGACGTTTGTTTCGCGTCGGTAGTAGCGTCTCATCGGNTACAAGCAAGGGACAGACTCAAAACGAGGCAGCTACGAACGAAAATTTGCATGCCCTGCGTCCACCACGAGGCGGCGGGTTGTTCTTGCGGCCCTCAATTGGTAGGGCCGGAGTAGCGGTAGACATACGTGACGTTTGTTCCGCGTCAGTAGTAGCGTCTCATCGGAGCAACCATAGCCGGCATGAAGCAATGATCACAAATGTCTACCGCTACTCCACAATCGGAAGACAGCAATGGCTAAGAAGTGCAGAAACACCAAGGCGAAAACGAAAGAAACAATACAGGACGCAAGCAACCCACGGTACCATGCAGTGACGGAGTAGCGGTAGACATGTGTGATGTTTGTTTCATGTCGGTAGTGACCTCTTCACTGGGGAAGCTATTGCCGGCATGAAGCAAAGAGCGCAGATGTCTGATGGTACATCCGCCACCGGCATAAGGCAGCGAGCTAAAATACAGAAACATCGTAGAAGAAAGGACAAAGAAAGACAGGAAGACAAACGCAAACATTACAAAGGAGAAAAATATAGAAATATAAAGGCAAGAAGTTGGGGGTGGGCGGGGGCGAAGCCAGTCCATTCCAACCGAGTAACAGAGTCAG